CTTACGATTGAGTTGAGGCTTACAAATCATTTTGGAGTTGGAATCAGGCTATTCTGGTGAATGTCGAGGTCTGTGAGCCATTTTCTTTAGAAGCTTGAGTACACTAGACTTCGAAGGCATAACCTCATTTAGTGGTTTAGAAGTCTCCTGTTGAACAGGAACCGGATAAGGTTTCGAAACACCAGCCGTTTTACCCTTCGTTGGTGTAGACTCAGTAACAGGCTTCGATGGACTATCCTGAGTAGCTTTCTTTGAACTTTTTATTTTCTTAGATGGACCTCCAACATTCTTTGGTAACAAAACCCCAGTTTCAATCGAAGGATTGATGGTTTGAAGGTAACCAATAAGGATTGGATTTTCTGGATATGTTTTGTGAAGCATGGCATCAGGTATCCTTGCAATGTTGGGAAAAACTTCGAAATCATCCTCCACGGTCTTGGGATGTTGATGAACAACAAACTCTGTTGTAGGATCATCAGCAGGTACCAAGATCCCTTCCTTATAATACACAAATTTCAAAATAAGACTCCAATATCAAGCACAAGAGATTCCATTCGCCATACTGGTGTTTGCAATACTGTTTCCAAATTCTTGCCACAACTGGGTTGCAAAATCCACCTGTAAGTCATAGTACAATCCAACAACTGTAGCATAACCCACCAGGTTTGCTTTATCCAACCCAACAGATCGTCCAGTCAAGCAACGAAGAAAAATACCAAAAAGAAAGCTCCAGATCCAAGGCAATGATGACTTCTTCATATCACTCATTCGTGTAAGAGGTGGTTGATGACCCATCTCGTTGAACATATGAACCACCTGTTCATTCGTAACCTCATGAAAAGGCTCGTCATTAGGAGTATTCAAGATTTGGGCAAACTGCTTCTTGGTCAATTTGTACTTCTTCTTATTGATTAATTGAAAAGTTACCACCTGAGTCGTCTTGTTAAACACAACAGTAGAAGCAGCGAGTGATAAGCATGTCATTGGAATGGAAAACGATGATTTCAATGCAGTAGACAACACAGAATGATTCAAAGCAATGATGAGCATATTCAATTCTTTAGGATAAACATCAACATTCGTTTGAACCCTGTAACTCGTGCTTTGAATCTTCAAGAGTGGTTGTGATGTTACATCATCAGTAGTTTGAGATGGGTCAACATTAACATTGGTAGCCGCCATTGTTACGGTTTGATAGTTTTTGAGAAAACAGAGCGTATAGGGCAATAAAATTTTAGGGAAATCCTGATCGCGTTGTAACACCGTAAATTTTCAAAACAAATTTTTCATTTACATTTACATAATTATCGTATAATATTCTTAAAATCTCATGTGTATCAAATGTCATCACAATAAAAACATATCCCAGAATCTCGAAAACATAATCCTCTGCCAGTGTGTACAAATTATGTCGGCGCCTTCCCGCGATCCTCGGTAGTACCTGAAACACATATCACATAACACGTTAAGCATAGATGCTTAGTGAGTTCCCCAAAATACCACATACAGCACATACGCCACTCGAGGCTATAACTCGGTACGACCCTCCGGTCGATGTGTCTCAGCGGGACCCTCCAGCCCCGTAGCTCGTTGGACCCTCTGGTCCGGTCTAGCTCGTTGGACCCTTCGGTCCGGTCTAAATAATTGGACCCTCTGGTCCGTTCTAAATCGTTGGACCCTCCGGTCCGGTCTATACAACACATAGCATACACATAACACAATACACATAATCTCACTCATACACATACACATAAGACCCCTCGGTCTGCACATAAATACCACTCTAGGTAATGTATAGTGAGAAGACTCACTTCGTAAGATGTCTAGTAAACTCTCGTGCTCGATATCCTCGATCTAGCCTCCGCCTAGCACAATGATAATAATTCTAATCAATATTCTCTTTACATCCTCATCTCTAGAGAATGGGTAGAAGACCATTCTACCCCTCCCTGACCCCTCTTAATCAGTTTGACCAAACCCTAAGGTCAACTGAAGTCAACTCCATTCAACGGTCCAATTTTGACCAGACTCGCCGAGTGCACCATTGTGACTCGTCGAGTCCACTTATTTCCTCAGAAGTCTCGTGAAAGTCCAGCTCAGCTCGTCGAGTTGACCCCCAACTCGTCGAGCTATCGCATGATTCAGCTCTTTGGGACAAACCCTAACCAACTCGTCGAGTCGGCTCATTGACTCGACGAGTTCATTCAGACCAAATGTTCATTCAGACGATTTCAATGAGATCTATCAGTCCAAACACTAGATCTATCATCTCAGGCCTCAACAATTACGGAAAGCTTCGATCTTTACGTTCATACATGAGGTTATTGCTCCAAAATACTAATACATGCCTTTCATGAATGATTAAGCCCAAAAACCCTCATATGGATGAATAAAGCAGGGTCATCTAAACTCTAAGGACCTCACAAGGTCCGGATCTGAGGTCTAGACTTCTGGATAACACATGCTACTCAAAAATCCAACCAAAATAACAAAAGCCCTAAATTTTCATAGATATGAGATCCAACTAAATGGATGAGAAAGGTGTGGGCTTTTTACCTTCCAGAGAAGCTCTTTGAGAAGAAATGCTAGATCCCACAGCCTCATCCCACTCCTTGCTTGAAGCTCACTCCTCTTCTTCCAAAGAGGTCCATCAAAACACTTGATTCAAGCTCAAGGACTCTCTCTTAGCTTCCATGGCCGCCTAGGGTTTCACACAGGAGAGTTGATCAGAAGATGAGCCACAAATGAGGCTATAAGTGCCTTTAAATAGGTCACTGGACCGAAAGTTTAGGGTTTCCTTCACCAGCGCTGACTCGGTGAGTGGAAACATAGACTCGTCGAGTCAGCTCATTAATCCTCGTCACCCAACGCGACTCTACTCGACGAGTTGAGGCACTAACTCGTCGAGTCGCCCATGAAACTCATTATTACAATAGAAATGTTATACCCCGGAACCAGGATGTTACACGCGTAAAGATGGAAAGAGATGACCCAACACCCTTTTATATGTAAACCCCAATTTGAATTTGAAGCGGTTAAGCATTCAATGCATGCCACGTGTTGCCTTGAAAACCGGACCACTAGCTGTAAAAGTAGCCACGTCTGAAAAGTGATGATCACTTTTTCTTTGAAAACCGCATAAGAACCAAAACGTCACATCAATCAGTCTGTTCGTTTGCCCCAATAGGATAAGAACCATCAAGAACCCTTCAGCATGGAGGCTGTGCTCTTTCGCTTTTGGGTTTAAAAAAGAAGTCATATGCCAGACTTTCGACATCATCATCCTGAGCTGGTTTTACTCAGAACCACAAGGTTTTCGTGAGTGCATATGTGTGCTAAAGAATAAGATAAGAAACAAGCAAAATAAAATTTGGTTCGGTGATTTCAATGATAGATCGACATAAAATCAGTTAGATCCCGGGCAAAGATCACTTCGTTCACATCAAGAGAGATGTGGAACAGCTTGTGTGGTTTCCCGTGAATTACAATCGAATACTCATAGAGGAGTACTGAAGGGCTTCTTTTATCAGGCTTCGTAGGTTAGCTAAAATTTTGTTACAAATCACAACTCAACATAAGTGTGAAAAATTGTAAACAAAAGTACTTGTTTGACTAGTATAGTTAGTGACAAGTATGCTTTGGAAAATGTGTCATGTAACGAAGGATCAAATTGATATTCAGACGGAAATCATATTCAAATAAATAAATAAATAAGTGTTGGATCTCGTTGTGAAAAAATTTCTTGGGTGTAGAGCATTTTATCAAGACCACTTAGAACAAAAGAATATGATTTTGAATATCGAAAAATTGTACTAAAATAAGTGTTTCGTTAAAAGCTTGAACTAAAAGTTCACCGTCAATTCTTTATAGGTTTCGAAATGATGGGTTTCACCTTCATCACGGTCTCATGAATCCAGATCCTAAACAAAGATTGTTTACATACCTATAACCTGGTTGGTTTTGACCAGAGATGTCTTGGGTATGTGTCATTGTGTGTGATCGTGAAAGAGCTTTAGGGTGAAAAAGATGGGTTTGAGAATCGAAATGTACCTCTGATATAAGTGGACCAAGCAGTAAACCCTTAACTCAATTGAGAAGCATAAGGTAGCTCAGTGACTAATGTGAATAAAGTCTGATTGGGAAGGAGTCCTCCTGATGAGAATTCCATTAAGGCTTCGAAACACATTGAGTCGTGGAGGCTTGGGTCAACATGTTGCAGCATGCTTCTAGGGACACCTAACTAGTGCAAAGTATTGAAATTATACCTTTCCCTAAAGCTGCAAAGCATGTACCACCAGAGTTCTTTGCTATCAAGCTACGCACAACAAGACAACAAAAAAAAACAAGTAAAATATTTTTGATTTTTATTTTTGAAAGAAAATAACAAGAATAAGAAAATATTTTTGATATTTTTGATTTTGGAATTGAAATAACAAAAATGAAGAAAATCTTTTTGTTGTTTTTGATTTTTGAATGAAAATAACAAAAATAAGAAAATCTTTTTGATATTTTTGATTTTTGAATTGAAAATGTTAAGAAAAAGAAAGAAAAACATACCATACATGCACAGTGAAAAATGTCATATACAAGAAATGAAGATACCGTCACAACACCTAGTTTAGAGTAGCGAAGTGTCTACTGAATCATTCATGTCGAACGTTGAATGGTGAACAGTAAACACTGAATGGATCAACGAAATGTTGACACCATTTAGTTTTCTAATGAACTCAGACAAGGAACAGCATTCGCATCAAGCATGCCTAAGCCCGACAAAATTCTTAGAAAAGTTTTCTCATCCAAAGGTGTGGTGAACATATCAGCAAGTTGATATGTGGTCTTTACAAAGTGAACTTCAATGTTGCCATCTTCAACATGAGCTTTGATAATGATAACGAAGTGCAATGTGTTTAGTTTTCGAATGTTGCACAGGGTTATGACAGATGCGAATAGCACTTTATGAGTCACAATACAACGGTATTTTATTCAAGTTGATTGCATAATCACGCAGTTGACTTTGAATCCAAATGATTTGAGAAGTGCATGATGCAATAGCAACATATTCTGCTTCTGCTGTGGAAATCAAAACACACGCTTGTTTCTTTGATTTCCAGCTCACAAGCTTCCCATCCAAAAGTTGACATCCGCCACTTGTGCTTTTTCGATCTAGTTGACAACCACACAAGTTTGCATCTCAAAAAGGCTTGAACGAAAAACCCTGTTTTCGAAGGATACCACAAGCCTAACGAAACCGTTCCTTTGAGATAACGAAAAATGTTCGTGATAGCTGTTAGATGAGGTACCCAGGGATTCGACTGGTACCTAGCACAATTACACACATCAAACATAATATCAGGTCGACTAGCTGTGAGATATAGTAACGAACCAATCCTGCTCCTATATAATGTTAGATCAACAGTTGGTTTATCTAACGAAGGACCAAGTCTTGTGCCAACTGCCATCGGAACTCGCAACTTGGAGCTATTCGTCATCCCAAACTTCTCAAGCAGATTTCGAGAGTACTTCTCTTGATTGATAAAGATACCTTCTCTGCTTTGACGAATATTTAATCCTAGAAAATTGTTGATTTTGCCCATCATGCTCATCTCAAACTGGCTTTTCATCATATTTTCAAACTCCTTCGACAAATTAGGATCAGTAGAGCCAAACATAATGTCATCAACATAAATTAGAACAAGCATATGATGATTCCCAACTTTCTTACGAACGAGAGTAGGATCAACAGATCCTTGTTTAAATTTTGATGATTTTAAGAAATTAGTAAGAGTGGCATACCAGGCTCGTGGTGCTTGTTTAAGTCCATACACAACTTTATCTAGATCATAACAATGATCAGGATATTGTGAATTGATAAAACCTGGTGGTTGCTCGACATACACCGTTTCTTCTAGCACTCCATTAAGAAAGGCACACTTCACATCCATTTGATATACGTTGAAATCCTTGTGTGTTGCATAGGCTAAAAAGATTCGAATAGCCTCGAGTCTTGTGACAGGGCCAAAGGTTTCTTCATAATCAATACCTTCTTGTTGCGAATATACTTTTACTACCAGCCTAGCCTTATTTCTATCAATGTTCCCCTCTATATCAGTTTTATTTTTGAAAATCCATTTTAAACCTATTACTGATACATCTTTAGGTTTCAGAACAAGTCTCCAAAATTTATTTCTCTCAAACTCATCAAATTCAGATTGCATGGATACAATCCAATCAGGATCATACATAACATTCTTTACTAACTTTGGTTCAATTTTCAAAATAAACACATTGAACATACCAAACTGTTGATTAGCATTTTGTACCACATTCTTCGCACATAGTTGAGCTCTCGTTAGAACTCCAACTTGAGGATCACCAAGAATTTGTTCTTGTGGATGACTTCTTGTCCATCTATCCATTGGTGGAAATGTTGGATCAAAGTCCAACGATGCATCTCCGAACGTCTCATCAGTTTCAGATCATGCACCTGCAATGGACATATTATCAGGTATTTGATGAAAAACTTCATTTTGTATAGTCGAATTATTCGTTTGAGATCCAATTTTCTCCCCCTCAACAATTGGATCATTAGTATGATGCTCCCCCTCGACATTGACATTCACTTGACCTTGCTCCCCCTCGAAAGTATGCTCCCCCTTGACATTAACATTCACTTGACCTTTCTCCCCCTCGAAAGTATGCTCCCCCTCAGCACTACTAGTTGAACTCAAGTGCTCCCCCTCCACTTGATCATTAGGTAAATTTGGCAGACTTTCGTTATTCATTAGAGAATTCGTTGAAGAGTGGATATCAACCGTATCATGTGTGATGGTCGAATAACCAAAGTGTTTCGACGCTTCAGGTATTTGATTATCATCAGCATGAAGTTATGCATCGATAGCCCTATCAAGAACACCAAAATTTAAATCATAATCAAAATATAATGAATTCAAACTTTGATATTCATTCGATTCATTAATGATTGTTTTTGTTCAAAGCATTTTTCGACTCTTTTAACATAATAATCATCAAAGGTAAGATTAAAAGTTTCTTCGATTTACCTGGTTTGTTTGTTTAACACCCTGTATGCAACCAAATTATGGGAATATCCCTTCATCAGCTTTTGACTGAAACTTCGAAAGATTATCCTTGAGATTCATAATGAAGCATCTGCAACTAAAAACATGGAAAAATTTAACATTTGGTTTCCTGTTGTTAATGATTTCATAAGGGGTTATATTAAAACGACGATGAATGGAAGATCGATTTTGAGTAAAACAAGTTGTCGAATCTTCTTCAGCCCAAAGATACTATGGAAGATTCGCATAAGTAAGCATTTTCCTTGCTTCTTCACAGAGAGATGGATTCCTGCTTTCAACAACACCATTTTTTTGAGGTGTGTAAGGTGAGGAAAAATTATGCAAAATTCCTTTTTCCGTTAAGTACGAATCAATAACCTTGTTCTTGAACTCTGAGCCATTATCACTCTTGATCTTACAAACCTTTTTCTTCAAACTCACTTCAATGTGCTTTATAAAGTCAATAATTGTTTGAGCTCTTTTTGTTGAGAGTTTCAACAGTCGAAGGACCACAAAGGTCAATGTGAAGAAGTTCCAAAGGTTCAATGATCTTCGAATCTATGAAAAATGGATGCCCTTTTCTATGTTGTTTCCCTTGTTCCCAAGCTGCACATAAAGTATCATTATCAAATTTTAAGACATGAAAACCACGAATAAGATCATTTACCACTAATTTGTTCAAATTCTTGAAATTCAAGTGACAGAGTCTTCAATGCCATAACCAACTTATGTATGATGATGCTTTCAAAAGAAGACAAACCGAGGGAACACCAACTATTGGTATGATGTCAAGAGTAAACATATCGCCTTTTCTTTTGGATTTGAGCAAGACTACTTTTTTTCTATATTCGAAATCACACTTCCTTCTTCATTAAAAAAAACTTGATTGCTAGTGCCCACAACAAGTTGCGAAACACTTATCAAGTTATGTTGAAGACCTTCGACATATGCTACCCTGTTAACAGTGAACTCGCCATTCGTAACTTTGCCATATCCTTTGACTTTGCATTTGTTATTATTACCAAACTTTACAGCACCAGCATTTTCCAGACTTCTAAAGTCTCTTAGATTTTCCTTCTTTCTAGTCATGTGACGAGAACATCCACTATCAATATAGCACTTGTCATCATATTGCTCGTCACATAAAACCTGCAATCAGTGAAAGAATTTAGGTCCCCAAGGCTGTTTGGATCCTTGGTTATTAGAACAAAATGCATGATGAATTGAAGATCCTAAAACCCAATTATGAACTTTTGATTTCAAACTATCAATTAAGTCCACTTCATTAGACACATGTATTGAAATGAAATCATTCGTTGGTTTAGAATCAATTTTGACTTTCCCTTTGACCTTCTTAGTTTGTTTCATATGTTTTTGACAGGTGTTGTTCCTTTGGAAAATGAAGCGTTACTTCGCTTCTTCGAAGGTGGATTAGGAAAATGAGGTTGTGTTGGTTTGAATGTCGCATTTTTCTTTACATTTACATTTATCTTTTCAAAATGTTGTTTTGAAAAACCAGGTTTTACTTGTGATTGAAAACAATTTTGAAAACGTTTTTGATAATCAACATTTGTTTAATGAAAACTTTGTTGATCATTTGATAATCTTCTTTGACTTGGGAATTGAGAAAAATTCTAATTGTTTGATTTTTGACGATTTGGTTTAGAATTAGACTTCGAAACTTGAGATTTTCTTTTGGAAAAATCTTGTTGTGGTTGACTTTTTGACAAATCTTTTTGAGATTGAGTGGGTGTTTTTGTTAATAAAAGACTTGTTTTGAGAAGATGTATGAACTGGTTTAGACTCAGTTGTTTCAGATGATTTAGTTAAAAAAACATTTTGTTTCTTTCGAGACTCAATATGTTGCCAATAAACCTTCTTTCTCGCTTTTGTCATTGAAATCCCATTTTCTTTAGAAATCTTTTCAATTTGTTCTTTGAAAATTTGGGCATTAGACTTTGATTTTTGAGTAACATTAACATTTGCTTGTTGTTCAACTTTTGATCTTTCAGATTTAGCTACCCAGTTTCTTTATGGTTTTTGTCTTTGAAAAGTGAACGAGTTCTTGTTGAGATTATTTTCGACAGTGCTTTAGTTTGAGAAAAATCCTTCTTTCGAAGCTTCCTTGTTATCCTCTTCAACAATTTTCTTGATTTCAGGTTTAACTTTATCACCATTTCCTGAGGTAACAAACAGCTGATTTGGGAAGATAACTTTCTTTTCAGTGCGTTTGAAGTTTCGATACACAACCGAATTTGATTCAAGATAATGAGGACCCTTTTCTTTCATGACTTTGTTGAACTTCTCAGTTTCTCCATAAATCTGATCGACTACAACCATGGGTATGGTTTTTTCATTTGAAACATCATCATTATCATCATCACTGTCTGTTTGACTATCTTCGACAGTCACATGGTCAGGTTCATGAACTTTCGAAGTCGAGGGTTGGTCGGTGTCAACTTTAACCGAAGAATCATTAAAATTTTCTTTACCCTTAGCTATAGAAGTGACATTAATGACAGATAACTGAGAATATTCAACAACTTCCTCCTCCTCAATTTCGCTAATATCATCAGAATCATCTTCGATATTAGCAAAATTGTTTTGAGAGTTAGATGTCGAATTCTCAGTTCTTTTCAAAATTGTGATTTGTTCATTTTTGTTTAAGGTCTCATTCACAATTTCAACAAGATCATTCGCATCTAAACATTCATCAATTCTAAGAACACCATATGCATATGAATCTATTGGGACCTTGTCAAACTCAAATATTTTCTTTTCACAGTCATAGGAAATAGAATCAATTTTCTCCATTTCGAAAGCTAAAAAGGGTAAAAGTTTCCTTTGCTGTTCTTTGCTAATGTCATATGAATGATGCAAGGCAGTTAATTTTCCATACAAACGCTTAGCTGCATTACAATATATATTCCGTTGTTTGTGTAAAGTATTGATATCAGTTCTGAGAGAATCTCTATCACACATTACATGAGTTAATTGCAAATCTAACTGATCTATCTTAGATTTCTTGGACTCCAAACACTTCTGAGTTTCTAGCAGTTGAGAATTGAACTTTTTGGCATCACTACTAGCAGAAATAAGCAAATCATTAACATAAGTAATAGCTTCATCAAACTCAGATAAAATTGAATCATATGCACTAGAAGGAATATTGAAGGATTGGATAAGAGAACGTACATGCGAAGTCATGGGTGACTTATAAGCAGTGGTAGAAACAAAGCATTTCCCAGTAACACTCTCTTCATCCTCTTCCTTAAAGCTTGCGAACATCGCTCCATGAGTCGGGTTTCGCATATCCTCATCTTCTGATCCTTATGACCAGATTTAATATGTCCCCTCCTCATCATCCATTCCCTTCGCAACCAGAGACATTCCTTTAGTCTTCGATCTCACTTCCTCAAGCCTCTCCACATAGTAGGCTTCGTCCTTGACTCTGCTCTTCTTCTCGTCTCTCTTCCTCAGCATGTAATCACTCGCCATGTGATTTGCTCCATTGCAACAATGGCAGTCGAATCCAGAATCTCCTTTGATCTTCTTCTCTATATTCGCTTCCTCATCTTCTTTACTCGCTTCTCATCATTCAAATTATTTTCCAGAAAAACTTCCTTTTGTCTCACCCATTTTTGAATTTGGATTAAATGGCTTTTTGAAGAATTTATGCACTCGATTGTTAGAATAGATAGCCACAGCTTCATCAAACCTTCATCTTCCGAACCCTCATTCTCAGCAGACTCTTTCTCAGCTTCTTTACTAGCAACCTTCGACATCAGTGCCAAAGGACCTCCTAAACCACTTCTTGTTTCCTCAGTTATCTCATTCACTTCACTTTCATGTGACTTCAACACATTATAGAGATCATTGAGAGAAAAGTAGTCGAAGCTTTGTTGAGTTTTTATCATTAAGCTGACATTTCGCCATTCCCTGCGAAGCCCCATGATAAATTTCAAGTTGAACTCCATTGTTGACCTTGTAACTCCATATCTGTTGCACTTGTAGATTAGTTCATTCAGACGATCGTAATAGAGCTCAATGGATTCTCCTTCTTTTTGTTCGAATTCTCCTAAATCCAACAGACACTGCTTAACAAAGCTTATATTTTTTTTCTCACTACCTTGATATTTTTCCTTCAAAGTATCCCAAATTTCCCTTGATGTCTTGCAACTACGCACATAGTTGTAAACTACTGGTGGAAGAGCACCACGGAGTTCACGCAAGTATCGTTTCTCGTTTTTCTTCAGTTTCTCTGTTTGTTGAGCAACATCTGGATTGGTAACAGCAGTTCCAACACTCTGTAGCCTAGTAGGAGATTGAATTCCATCAAT